TGGCTGACTGGAGTCCTGTTTGGGTTTCTTCTCTGCTCCAGTTCCAGAGTGTTCGGTGTCGGAGCTGCCGCAGCTCTCTGTCAGAGAGGAGGAGAAGACTTCTGCTTCCTCCCAGTCTCTCCCAGTCTCTGTGTCTGCTGGACTTGTTGCGGCTGCAGCTCAGACTCTCAGTGTTGATGAGTGCGAACACGTTGAACTGACGCTGCACTCAGTCACACACCTGCAGGCTGATTTCCTGAACAAACAAAGGGGAGGAGACATGAACGTGACTCCATTTTGTCTCGACAGCAGAAGAACGAGGACAGAAGCTGAACCAGGGTGAGTTAACTCAACGTTCTTCTCCTGTCCGAGTCTCTGAGGGACTTTTCTCTCTGTGGAGGGAAGAAGAGGCAGAACTCACTCAACTTCAGGACAAGACTGCTGCTTCTGTCTCACTTTCATTTCCTGTTTGTCACCAAGAAGGAACTCGGTGCTCAGACGAGAACAGAGTTGATGACGACTGAAACAAAGATTTTAAACACTCACTTACAAATCTGATTTTTAGTTGTCTCTTTGAACGAGTTATATTTTTGTGCCTTGCATTTCCCAGGTTTGATCACAGAAATAGAAACGTCAGCTTCACAGATGCTGCTTCGACTCATCTCACTGTGGTGCAACAAGTCGGCCATTTTGGGAGGAGGGAAAATTAAACTAACTACAAAAGAAATTAAGAAGCTGTGGTTTTTACCAAAACTATAAACAGTTTGTTTCAAACATTTCACATGGAAATAGTTTTTTATTTTATACTGAGGGGATTACATATTATATCACAAGTTTAAACGTTATTCATTTTAGAAAATACAAAACTTCTAGCTTTGTGATTAGTGTTTTATATGATTAAATTCCGCTCCTGTTTCCTGGAATATCTTACAAAAAGATCTGAAGCTCTCGACCTTTGACCTCTCTAAGTGGCTTTAAGAATCTGTTGGACTCCTGGCAGGGACCAATGCAGACATGTTCCTGTTTTTAGTTTTTTACATTCACCTTGTAATCTAGCTGTTTTTGCTACACGACAACAATAAACAATCATAAAAGAGGCATACAAATTAGTTTTTTAACATTTTTTACAAATTAAAATAAAATGGCAACCAAAATGACAGTCAAAAAAAAAGAAGCGAAAAAACAGCTAGGTTATGAGGCGGTGGAGAAAACTAAAAGCAGGAACATGTCTGCATTGGTTCTTGTCCAACAGATTCTTAAAGCCACTTAGAGAGGTCAAGGTCGAGAACTTCAGATCTTTTTACAAGATATTCCAGGAAACATGAGCAGAGTAGGAGAAGGCCCTTTTGTCTAGTTCAGTCCTCATTGAGGGAACACTGCAGGTAATGATGTCCTGAGAGCGCACGCTGTAGCTGCACTCACACAGAGACATGTAGGAGGAGATGTATGAAGGCAGCAGACCA